TCTTCGATGGTAGGCAGGGATGGGCCCAGGGTGGCTTCCAGAGAGGGGCGGAGGGAGGGGGAGGAGGAAGGGGGCAGACCGGAGATGCGGAAAAGGGTTGTTTACAGTTTTAGCGCTGCTGCCTATGTCTCCGGGGCGGTGAGGAGGGGAGGGGAGGGGGGAAAGATCTTTCCCCCATGATGGTAGGTGTTGATTTTCGGGCGATCTTTATAGCACAGGATGCTGTTTCGGCGTTTGAGAGGATATCAGTTATGTAACACAAAAGATGTTAAAATCGTCGGAACGAAGAGGATTTGTATTTTACATCGAGATCTGTTTTTTCTTAAAATTAAGTTTTTTTATTTCTTGCTATTACATATTATAATATATATTTAATTGTGAAGGAAAAGAAAAACACATAAAACTTTTCCTTTACATTTGTCTTTACTATTCTCAATTTAATAACATAACTGTTTAAAATTAAACTCAGATTTTCACTGATTGCCACAGTCGTTGTACTGACGAGGTCCAATTGTGGTAATGGTAAGAAATGTATACGACTTAATGAGCCTAAATATTACCATTATAATACACTTTACAATATTTCGCAATTTTTACTAATTTCTTAATATTTGCTTCCAATATTAAAATATTTTTCTATTAATTACAAGGAGCGCTGCTTTCGTGCTAAATGTTAGGAGTTTGATTAAAGAGAATAAGACAATCAACCTTTCTCGGATTCATTCATTCGTTTCGATGGTAAATTGATACTTGTTCCTTCTCGGGCATTCCAAGGCGCCTTTAGATTCGAAGTATTACTCGAAAGGGGGTTTGTTTTGACTGCCTCAATTGATGTTGAGTACTGACACGTGATTTTGCCGCTCGAATTAGTTCCAAACACTTTTTCTCGTAAAATTTGATTCGATTGTGCTTCGCTTGCTCCGTTCGGCTTTGCGATGTGAATGTTTGATAATATCATGTGTACTGTGGTGACTTTGCAGGTGTGACAAACATTGCGTCACTGTTAGCACGTTATCAGTTGTATTTTCGGCCGGCAACGGCAGCAGCTCTGTCAACGATGTCGGAAGCGAAAACAGTCTATGATTTTGTCGTCAAAGATGTCGATGGAAAGAATGTTTCACTTGAAAAATACAAGTAATTTTTTTCTTTCAAATTTATCAGCTTCTGAAATTCTCCAC